TGCACCCATAATTTTGTAAGTTTCATTTTCCACCTCTGCATAAGGTCACTGTCTTGGGCTGGCCTGTACTTCAGCCCTGAAGATGGGTCAATATACACTTCTGAAACACTAGTACCTACCTATATGTGTTACAGCCCAGGAGACTGACATCAACATCACTAAATGAATGATGATTTTACTCAGTACGGTACACTTCTAAAGTGGCACTAACAATAATAAGAACCGAATATAAATTAAACACATACTGTGAATTGAACTTCATGATCAGCAACATTGTCAAAATATTGCTCCCAATTCTTGATAGCTGTTGTAACTTCAGTCTTATTGGGGGTACTAGATTCTGTGAGGTATTTCACCTGCAACCTCATGGCTTGCAATGTGTCCAAACATTTCTTCTTCAAGCTGACAGCAAAACAAATAAAAATGAGAAATGAGAACACACACATTACATCACAATTTAAAAAATAATAAAAGAGAATAATCTGTGCAGTTCAAAATATTTTGTCTTCCCATCTGATTTCTAAGAACCTGAGAATTAAAGTATACAAAACAATAATTTTGCCTGTTGTTTTGTATGGGTGCGAAACATGGTCTCTCACTCTGGGGGAGGAACACAGATTGCAGGTGTTTGAGAACAGGGTGTTGAGGAGGATATTTGGACCTAGGAGAGAAGATGATGGGGCATGGAGAACACTGCATAATGATGAACTTAAAAATCTGTACTCCTCCCCCAATATTGTCAGGGTCATTAAAGTCAAGAAGAATCAGATGGGGGTGCGCATGGATGGGGCGAGAGGTGTGCACCGGGTATTAGTTGGGAAACCTGAGGGGAAGAGACCGCTGGGGAGATCTAGACGTATATGGGAAGATAATCTAAGGTGGGATCTATGGGAGATAGGAGTCGAACGAGACTGGATTTTGTTGGCCCAGGACAGGGTCCGGTGGAGGGCTATGGTTAATTCGGTGATGAACCTTCGGGTTCGGTAAGCCATCTAGTTAGTTAGTTAGTTAGAATAATCTGTGGATAAATATACAGTAAAAATGAAGTTGCATCAATGGTGGGGGAATGGGTAAAAATTGTAATCAAAACATTTTAAAAAATACTACACTAACGTAACAACTTAACTCCTTTTTCATCATTCTACTTTCTCCTCCTTTTTTTAACATTTTGTTAATGAATTTTTGTTATTACACTTGCTGTCAAAATGAAGAATTCAGTGCTCACAAATTTCACCTTAAAAGAAATTTGAAACAAATTACATTCAAAGACTTCTTTAATAAATAAAAATAATGCATTCCATCAAGACTTTTTTAATGATGCAATTATTTTTCTTGTGACTTAATTATATTGTGCATAAATATATCAAATAAACTGTTAATCATGTAATAAGCTATGTTTATTCATTCCTGTTTTTATCCCCCTTCCATAAGTATGTATCTGCGTGCACATGTGATAAAAGTAGTGACTAACAGAAACAGTAATTATAGCTACAATAACGGATATAACGAGTAACAGTTATAATGAGCGCTTCTCCTCAGTCCCTTAGATCCCATTATAACCGAGTTTAACTTCCATTCTTAAACATGTGTACTAAATTTCTGCTACATGAAAATATGCCAAGCCATGGATAGTTTCTGCCCTAACCACTATCCGTCCTAGCCTGCTGCCATTTTTCTATTGCGTTATTACATACTATCCTAGCAGCACTGGCCATCTCATCAAGTGTTGTTTAATAAATACATACATTGCATGTGTGTGTGTATGTGTGCACGTGCATGAGTGTGGGGGGTGCAGATTGTGCTTGAGTGACACAGAGCTATGCTGGTAGAGGCACCCAAGCCATACAAGACAAAGGGTAGAGGTGAGGGCTAGCTGCCATCCTAGAAGTAAGTTTAATACTTCAAAGCCCACAGCCACAAACTGCATTTTGTATTTATAGGCGTGATTCTCAATGTAAATAATAACAATTTCCTTGAACGTCATTAACGGGTTGGTCTTTGTAATGGTCAAGTGTTGTGTTTTCTTTGCAGTATAAACCAAATTCTTGAACAGTGTTTAGATGAGCTCATGCTTCAAAGGGTTAAGACAGACATGGCATTTGCGTCAACAGATGTATAAAACAACTACAACTACCACCACTACAATATGTCTTGTGACGATAAAAGATTGCATTTTAACACCAGTTACATCAAAATCTAGTATCACAGATACCATTTTCAAACTATAATTAATCTCTAACATTAATCTTGAACAATGACAGTACATTAGATGAATCTTGCTTAAGAAGCCCATGTATGCACCCACTCTTACTTACAAACTGATTTGTAGCACTCCCGCCTCCTTCTTAGCTATGAGAACGAGATGCTGGTACTGTGCCAAATCCCTTTTTGTCAATGTCAATTCCTCTTCTAGTTCTTTCACTTTCTGCCCAGTTTCACTTCTACAAAAGAAAGAAAACTTTGCCACCTATCACAAGTCACGCATATTTTACTCAAATTTTAAAAATGATCAGGCAAAAAATAAAACATGTAAATATGAGCAGATGTAATAACACACAGACAATAAGAATGATACAATCAGACAAATATTTGTTAAAAACACATTTTTGACGTAAATACGTCTATACGGAAGGGTCATTCGGCAAAAACAGCGTTAGTTCCAAAGATGTGCAAGATCCAGCGCCGAGTCACCTTTAAATGTTCATTCCTCAGGAATGGTAAGAGTAAGGGTAATGTAACCCATATGTAAAATAATCAGTAAATAAAGACCTTTAAGAATCTGTAATGTATTTTGTTGTAATTATAATTGTTTATATATTTATTGTAATTTTAATGAACCAATGTGTACAATTTTCAATGCATCTGGCGTGTTAAGCGCCCGCCTCTCGAAAACCGTAAGAGATGGATCGGGACTTATTGCGTACGAAATACGTATTACCTCTTGAGCTTTCCGTATCTGTTTTCAGATTTTACATATCACAAATAGTTTAGTTTCTACAAACATTTATTTATACAAATAAAGGCTCATCACACTTCACGCTACTGCTGCGTTTGTGTGTTGCGTCATACTATGTAGAGATAACAAGATGGATGACATTGAAGCTAAAAGAGTTCGATGATGATAATTTAAATACAAAGACGTATTTACGTCAGATTCTCCGGAACCGTGGTTCCACTGTCAATTTTTCTTTGATAAAACTTAAAATGTTAAAATCTAATGAAATTCCAAATAGCAGACTGGAATTTCTTCACATATATAGATGTGAAAAGAAGTTGATTAAGAGAGGAGTTACTGCCAAGCTATGATGGAAGGAAGACGCCTCCAAATTCTCTACTTGTACGCCAATATTATCTTAGGTATGTGACCCCCTGACTCAAATACAAGCTATGCCCACATAGTAAAGATCATGGTGACTCAGAAATAGATAATCTGGTTAAAGAGGAATACCTTAGTAGACAGAAAGACAGGATGTGATGTCAAGAGAGATGGAAGCTGCGTAGTGATGAAAACATGAATTGTAAAATTTTTCATGTAATATACATGTATACAGAGAAAGCCATGTGTCAGATAAACATAATAGGACCCCACTCCTGGCTTGGGCAGATACAGTTAAAGGGTTCTAATCCTTTTCTTGTGAGGTCAGTGCTAGTACAAAGTATCTAGCAAAGGTAAACCAAGAAGGTGGTGGCAGGCAACTACAATCAGCAATGGCATGTAACAACTGGTGTCCACCAGTAAGGATTCAGATGCAACCAAGACTGATACATTACAAATTTCCTGTCAATCAACAATCCACATCACAATTTGTGTGGAGCAACTCAATTGGTAAACAAACTGCTGCATTACTCCTGTCACTTCTACATACCTGGTCATAACACAAGTGCATAAACATTCAAATTCACTCCCCTTCACTGTTCAGTCATTTCAGAAATCAAATGAAACAAAAAGTTTTTAACAACTGAATGAAATGGTAGTTCACACTTACCGAATAACTGAAAACTTTGCATCCAATGGCACAATGGCATAAAGATGGAGTTAATAAATATGCTGAAAACTTTAAATAATAAAATGTTACAGACTGCTACCAGTTAACTACTTAATTCTGGAGGAAAATGGTTCACTTTTACAGATAGGTCCAGCAAACAAAACTATTTTCCATGCCAGACAATTTTCACAAATCCTTGCATAAGTTACACAGCTGAAGTTTCTGATTACGCAATTTCAGAGAAAAATTAAGTGTGAATTACACAATAAAATACAGTATGTCCTTTCACTTACATCAGATTTCTCATAATGGTCATTGTGTTGTTTTCTGTTATTTGTCTTTCTTTCTTTTCTTCTTCAAACCTGGTCTTTAATGCTTCACATTCTTCTTCCTTCTTGATTAGTTCCTTTATAAGTATTCCAAAATCTGTTTTCTTTTCTTCCAGAACCTTAGCCAGCTCCAACTCCAATTTCTGAAAGAAAAAAAAAGTGATTTATTCTTTACAAGTTTTGTGAATGATAATGGCATTTTCTGTAGAAAAAAAAAAACTTGCACTTGTACCAAGAAAAATTATCAGCAACAGAATTATAACGAGTTCAAGTTCTGTGAAAGGAAAGATATGGCAGAGGAACAGTGTATACCACTTCAGGGTACACACTTTCCAAATGCATTTTTTGAAATTTTATGCCCTTCACGCAATCTTATATGTATGTTACAGACACAAATCTATTGATGATAAAACTTATCAAAGACATTACATTATGTAAGATTTGAGATTACAGCATTCCCTGTCAGGGAGTACGAGCGCCACATCCGGCTCGGGCAGCCTGAAAAATCTGCCGTTGCTGAACATCGCTTCAACATGGGACACCGCATACAGCTCGGGGATACTTCTATCCTCTCCACAAAAACCGGCTACATGGATCGGATAATAAGGGAAGCCATCGAGATCGAATTACATCCCGATAACTTCAACAGGGAAGATGGACTTCACCTGAGCCAGTCATAGAAGCCTCTTATTCACACTCTTCGAGGGTTCCCAGAGCGATCCAGAGTGCACCGCCAGAACCAACCAGACCACTAACCTGGCCCTTTTCAGGGCCCCAATCACATTCAACCAAACTCCCGATGTTCCACCGGACGCACTTCCCGAGCCCCCCCCCCCCTTTCCTTTCTCTCCCTCTCTCACACTCGCTCCTATTGGTCCACTCCCACTCCTGCTCTCATTGGCTCGGGGCAGGCTACTCCATTCACAGTCTGGCTCCTATAAACCTAGCCCCTTACACCCTATTGGCATATTCATCGCCCTGATGACAGAGGCAGTATGACCTCTGAAACGTTGGTTAACATTGAACAGACTATACAGCGCAACAACCCAGAAGACAGAAATTTTCTAATTGACATTACATTAGTTTTACTTTTAAACAGAAATCAAACTATAAACTGATTCAAATGACAGTTACATCTACGATATCTGAGTTAATATATATATATATATATATAAAACTTGACATCATAAAATATGAGTTTATGAGGATCAACGTGGACAAAAATGAAGTTAAAATGAAAACTTTTAACGCAACTTTCATGAATATTTCATCAGACTCCATTAAGCGGTTTCAGAAATAATATTTTAAAATGTAAATAACATTTCCATTATGCACTAAATTCAGCACAGACAGCAAAGAATGCATAAGAAACCATAACCTACAAAATTACAAAGACAAATGATATATGTAAATTACCTTGATTTTTTGATTTTGTTGTTCCAATTTTGATTCTAAAATCTTCTCATCCTTTAACTCCTTTTCCGGTTTCTTCACTGTACTTTCTAAAGTACTTATTTCGTCCCTAAGTGTCTGGGCACTGGTGTCACTCAGTTCCTGCAATACCACATAAACAATAACTGACAAGAACAATCATATGATTCTGCAATACTGGTATATGCAATAATAGCAGATTTTAGAATCTTTAGTCTTATAATGGTGCAACTCCTTATTTATTTATACATACATACATATTTTATTATACTCCATGGATCCATAAGACAGTCAGATGAAAGTAGGATGTGGAAAAAGTCATAATAATAATAATACAAAACATATTATAAAGTACAATTTATACTATTATTATATAAACAACTGAATGGGTAATGTCCAAGTAAAATGTCATATTAATGCCAATATACTATTGTCGAAGAACTTTAGAATGACATCAGAAGGAAACCAGAATGGCATGAAAAACAACGTATTTGCAAAATAAATCTAAAGATTCACAGTACAGTACTTAAAAGAAATTAACCCAGTACCTGCCGCTATAAAACAGAATGAAAATGAGGAACACTGACTTGCCACAGCCTAGACAATGACATGAAAGAGAGGTTCAAGAAAGTTGCCCTGTTTAGCATGGACAAAATAAGCCTTCCTAGCCAACCTCATCCATCTACCAATATCTTATCTCTGCCAACCATAAATTCCACATGGCCTGCCCTGGAACTGAATCCACTGTGAGAAGTCAGCATCTAACCAAATGATCTATGGCACAACCATCAGAAGAAATACAAATAAAACATAAAATTAATTATTCAGGAAAATGTCCTAAAAGTTAAGGTTGTTTAAATGAAAGAGAAATATCAACACACTGAATAAGTAATCTCAATCCATACAACAGAACCTTGTAAGGTATTGTGCTGGATGTCCAACCAGCACGGTCACAGATATAAAAATCCTCATGATTGCACAAGGCATGAATTAATTTGAATACAAACCCCTTTAAGCAACGGTGTCCCATTAAGAGTCCTCCCACTTGTCTCAAGTATTTCCTATTCAATATTCAACAGTTCCCTAGTTCATTTAGCAGAGAGTTCTAGAATAAACCCTTTGAATGTTTTTGTCCTGGTGCAGACTGCCAGAATTTCTGTTCATCCAACTGCTCACATCTTCCTTAGCTACTCTTTCAGAGACACTTCAAGCCAGTTAAATTCCTATCAACTGAATAGTATTTGCATTGCCTTCAATTCCCCTATGCCATGGGATAAATATCACCTGTAGCCTGTCATGTTAGTCAGTTTGAGTAAGGATTAATGGCAATTCCAAAGTTCATCATGTAGTAAAGTGCTATGATTGCAGCCTACCTGATGTAATAAAAATGTTCCTATTTTCACAGCCTTTATTTATATTCTTGATTGTTAAACCTGCTCCTTGTGCCATGTCCACATATCCCTGTACCAGCGCCTTCTTATAGTTTTGGGTCTCTCTGTGTATCAGATTAGTCACCCAATCCTTCCTCTCCTTTATCTTACAGCATTGTTTCAATTTTATAAGAGTTAATGACAAAAGTCTTGACCTCTACTTCTTTCTTCCCACAATCTTTGTTTGATCTGTGGCCTTACAAGTCATCAGATTGAGTAAACAGCAAATGACACGACCAACGTCAATGCAAAGGTAAGCGGCATCTCTCCCTTGAAGAGGAGAGTCAGCCAAATTAAACCAAGTCATACAGCAGTCATCAGACAGCAAGGTGAAGAACAGCAAGCATTCAGCTGAGTATCAAGCAGCAGTAGGCGTAACAGATGTAAACCAATCGTGAACAGATAAGTTGCATGCATTTATTCAAGAATAATTTAATTCAAATCTGATAAATTATTAACGCACATTCAATATTTGGGTTATTCAACTCAAGCTCTAGTAAACACCAGCACATAAAAATATGATATGTGATCATTTATTGTTCATTTGTACAGTTAAGATTTGTTATGGATCACACAGGAAGTGATGAAGGTGATAGGAGATTGTGTTTGTATTGATTTGCTTGGCAAACTCAGTATATACTAGAACATATCTATATATTCAAGAGTAAAAACTAAACACTTTCCTTCCTTACATAACGACGCAATCATTCCCCTTTTTCCAGTCATTTGAAATCTTACATGATTGCCAGACTTTCCTCATGATTCTATGCATCTGTTGCATTCCTACTCATGCTACTTCTTCCAAAATATCTACCGTCATTTTGTCATCTCCAAGGGTGCTATCATGCTACATCTTTCCTTTTGAAATATCAATACCCAACATTCTTGCTTCATCCATTAACAGGATGATGATGATGGAGGCAGCAAGAACCTCTGAAATGTCAGTATAATGCTACCAGACTACAAAGTGCAATAACACAAGAGACAGCTATCGTTACCTACAACTCATCACCATAAAACAATACAGTACTTACTCCAAGTACAATGTAGCACCTTTTCTCCTAGAAACAAAACAAAAACCCAGAAGTACTCAAGCAAATGTGTGAGAATACAATGCATCATACAAGCTATGCTTACCATCTTCTGAATACTGCACACTTTGGGTTGCACAATTAATGGCCGATGTGAAAATGGAAGTGGGTATGGTGAAGGTCTGAACGTGACAGGAACAGGGACCATACCCAAGTAACCATAAGAGAAGTGATGTACATGCCACTGTTTACAGAGACAAAAAAAGTAAGACTTTCCATTCACAAAAGCACCACACTGCATTATAATACTCACTGCACTGCCACCAAAACAAAGCATTTATAAATGCAAACTTAACATATCTATCATGCAGGTGGAAGCTGTCCAGCCACTGCTGATGATCCCATAAGCAAACAAAAACATCAGGGTACAATTTACAACATTTATAAAAAATGGCCCACCAATAATAATCTACTTGAACTATCCATAAATCTCTTTCATTTTCACAATAAAAATGTGGGTGCATAAACATAATGATGTTAATCTAATAAAATACGGATTAAAAAAACCTGATCTATCCTTATTTACAGTTTTAACGTAACTACATAATTCCTACATAGTAATATAATACGTGGTATACAGCGACACCCAATGGGTAACCAGGATGCTTCAGAAAGACACTTGTTTCAACAGGTATCAGGCAATGCTAATGCAAGGTGATATGTTTACCTTCAAATTTATCATTATGATATCACTCTTCAATCCAGAGATCATGCACTTATCTGCATCAAGAAGACTACTTTTTCAAAGCACACACACACACACAAAAGTGCCATCACCAGAAATGCAGAAAAAATAACCACTATTTTCTTAGATTCTGACATCATCCTCATTTTCTGTGTTTCTAAGAGCACTAACAGCTATGCACAGACAGACAGCTCAGGTAATAGCTGCTATAGAAACCCAGGTTTGTGCCCATGTCAGTCCACGTGGAATTTGTGGTGGACAAAGCGGCACTGGGGCATGTTTTTCTCGAAGTTCCCTCTGTCAATATCATTCCTCATCTGAAGGATGGGCAATGGGCCTGTAAGGAGCTCATTTCCAGATACACACTTTCATACCACCATAACGGAATTAAAAAAAGAAAAGAAAAACGCACCAACAGTGCATGAAACTACTCGGCAGTACTGCTTTAGTTTCTGGCATTTCCATATTGGCACATTCACATAGTGGAGAGTGTGATGTATGAGTAGGCTAAACACACCTTTAAGTATCTTTCACCACAGCCTTCAAAACACAAAGACGAAATGTTTCCATCTGGTTGCTGAAAGACCACAACCGGATGTATAGTGCAAAAGTGATTTATGCCCACTGTAGTTTTCTTCATGTTTATCTTTTGATTTCTCATTATCTTACATTCCAATTCACTTCAAGAAACAGTGGCAATACATTTCTGAATGTATGGAAATATATGAAGATGTTGGAAAATGTCACAAAAATTGTTTCAAATTTATTCCATACATATTTCAAATAGCATTAATGTGAACACAGCAAATTTAAGACATAATGTTTTTTTCCAACCTGTTATGAATTTCCATTCCACTAGCACAATGCAAAATTTAAACCACATTAAATTCAGCAGTATTAGTGGTATAAGGGCAATGACGAATCTACCACATAAGAAGAAGAAAAAATCTTGAAAAAAACAAGTTTTCAAAAAAGGCACTGAACTTCACATTTCATTCAAATTTCTGACTTTCACTTTTTTAATTTGTCCGGAGATAGGGATTAGCTCTATCTAGTGGGCCCAACTGAGTAGGAACCTGAAGACGGAGATAGAGTCTCATCTCCGAAACGTCGTTTTTACGTTTTTTACGTTTTTATTACTAGACGATGGATAATATCCAAGTAAATTTTTATTCAATTGACTCTTCACCATCGTCAAGAAGTTTTAGATTTGATATTCTGTAAAGTACTTAATTATGTCATACTGACATCCATCCAAGTGCCCCGGGTTAAGTCAAGAGACTTTCAAATACAACATTTATAGAAATTATTTATCAGACATCGACCAGACTACACAGCGCAACAACCCAGAAGACGGAATTCTTCATACTCACTGCTGTGAAAACCTCAAATCCTATAAATTATTTATTCTTTCAACGATATGTCATTAGTAATTGTCCCAGGTGAGAACGTTAACCAAGCAGGCAGTAACAGACTGGAAACAATGCATGAAGAGAAACATGGAAGCAGCTTCACTACAAAACTTCCATGTTTTTTAACATTTATAGTCATATTGATATAATAAAATAGAAATGTTAGGAGGTTTCACTGCCTAAAGAGCGACTGATGACAGAAATTGCCTTTTCAAAAGCCTAGCACTAGAAAAGTTGGCACACAGAACTGAGCAAAATAATTGTTTATGCATGCGTGCGTACACATACAAATTTATAAAAGATTTACTGCAATACAAAATTCCAAGTCATTACTTTAAGTACTGACAGAGTAATTTTCACCTGAAATTTGCACAGCCACTATACCACCAATGACACTGCTGATGGTAGTACATTAAGAAGTAAAAATGTAGGAGTGACTTTTAGTAGGCTGCAGTTCATATCAAATTTCATGTAAATCCATTAATGGGTTCAAATATTAGACACTCACAAATACCATAACATGAAATACGGAAAATGGGCTAAAAATTCCAATGGTTGTCTTCAGGCAAGACAGACGTATGCACTCATTTATAAACAATCTTACTGAAACATCCCACCAAATAATGAGTAGTAGTACTACCAAGGGGCAAGAAGTCACATGCTTGACTTCATGTTACCTGATAATAGTTCCAACTTACAGGCAACTGCAGTGAAGGAAATGGAGACGAACACAATGTTTGGTAGTATGGTACTGGATGCTGTACAACTGCAGGAAAATATGTTCTTCTTGAGGAGGCAGAACTTACATGTACTGCTAGGTCTTTGGTACCTAGGGGGGGCAGAAAAAATTATATATATATATATATATACAGGTGCTTTAATGTCTTCTTCTTCTTCTTCTATGGCTCTCTGGTCCGTATTCGGTCCATGGTCTCCTCATTTCTCCTCTCCATTCGGTCTTCTGTTAGGCCCACCTGTCTGAGGCTTTGATTGAGTTTTCGAAACGTCTTCCTTTTTACGGTGCAAGGTTGTTAATGTCAATGAAGAACAGCTCTTTGCATTGACTGAACTTTGTAGGTTATGTAAATAATTGTTCAAGGAGACTGACTGTTACTTCCATCCTTTCATTACATTAACTCTTTCCAAGCAGATAACCCCATATTCTCAAAGAGCATGGGAATTGTAGCATAGGACCAAGTACAAACCAGACAACTCATTGCCCTGATGAAGGAGGCAGTATGACCTCAGAAACATTGGTTAACATCTACCAGACTACACAGCGCAACAACCCAGAAGACAGAAATCTTCAGACAACTCATATTACAAAAAAAAAATACTGAATAAAGCACTGCATGTAGGGATACAATAAACAAGTATGCACATAAATAATGTATATAAAATACATATAATATCCAAATAATAAAGAAAAACTAACTAGATGGCTTATGGAACCCAAAAGTTCATCGCTGAATTAACCAAAGCCCTCCACTAGTCCCTGTCAAATAAAGTAAAACTAAAACAAAAAATCCAATAAATATGAATATACAGAACCCAGTATCTATATACTGTATGACTTACCCGAAGCATTATACCCTGAGGCCGTACCAAGAAACTCTGTTCTTTCATCTGAAACTGAAACACTTCTCTCAGTTATTTCTGGTCCATCATCTCCTTCAGGATAAAAGGCCAATTCCTCTTGCTCTGGAACTATTTTTGCTGGACATATAAACTCACTAGCATCAACATTTAATTTTTTGTCAACATTTTCCTCAACACCTTTATTCTCTTCCGCTTCTTTAAGCTTTCCATCCTCCTCTTCCGCATTCCTTACAATATTCTCCTCCCACTGTGCGCCACCATCATCAGCAACTTCATCACTTCTACTGTCAATCTTGTCAGAATCATCACAACTGTTGTCACTTATGAATGAATCCACTTTTTCTCCCTCACTTATAACACTTTCACTCACGGAAGTCAAATGTCTTTTATCAGTTCCAAAAACATTACCTTCTACAGTACAGATATCGGGATCTTCAACGTCATCAACCACTTCAGCATGAGGAATAAATGCTTCAGCACTGTTGGTACTTGCTGAAGGTTCATCGACAAATGTCGACAGCACGGTCTCAACAGCTGATTTGCTATCAAGGCTGTGTGTGCTTAAGTCCATATTGGAACTAGTATGGCTTGGTGGCTCGACTTCAGCATTACTATTCTGTTGTGACATATCAGTTAAAGATTCTGTATAATTTGAAAGTCCTGTCAAAGTAAAGAACAAGCTCTCCACAAGTTCTGTCTTTACCATATTATAAACTGCAGCCTTCTGCTCTGCAAGGCAGATGTAGTCGTCAATAGAAACAAAGCGATATGACTGAAGTAGGAAGCTGCAGATACCTACAATAAAAGAATTAATAATTCATTACGAAAGTTATTACTGGCTCCTAAAATTACAATAGAATTCCCTTTTCATTTAATGTTCAAATCCTTTGGTGGTAGTTTGAGGCCAATAGATGCCTTAGCAATCTAGGCAATTTGTATACCTGTAATTAGGAGCCAAACTGTTAAAAACACACAAGGGAGATTAAATAGGTAATGAAAAAAAGGCCAATGATCAACTGGCTGATACTATCTAGAAGAGGGTACATAAACGAATACTTTAAATAACATAAAAAAGAATAAGACTTCCATTTTGAAACAAGGGTGGAAAGGTTCATGCCATTCTAGAGAAAAGTTTCCTCATGGGATGCCTTGTGAATGCTTCTAGCTGTGTGTTTGTGGTGTGCGCATGTGAATGTGCATACAAATGTCACTGAGTGCACATGCATGTGTGTGAATGGTATGTTTTTACAAGAAACTACTTGAGCACGGAGTGGAGGGGACAACAAGCTGCCAGCAATATGCTACTACTTGTACAGAAAATATCAGAGTCCAACACATCTTATGATAATATTTTATGCCAGTTTTGCTTGATACTAGCTTGGCTAATTAAAATGCTTAATTTATATTACACTATAGTATAGTCCATACAGGTAACATTTCTCTGATGCATTTCCTATTCAGAATGGTATTCACAACTTTGCTTTAAGAACACACCATCAGAAAGGTCCAAAGAAAACGAAGAGGAGTTGGAAATTAAATGGACACATCAGCTTCTGGTCTACGCTGATAATGTTAATTTACTGGATGGAAACATAAACATTATAAACAAAGACACAAAAGCTGTATTATTACATGCTAGTAACCAAGTCAGTCCACGCGTAAATTAAAAGAAAACTAAGTACCTATTCATGTCTAATCACCAAACTACAGGGCAAAATCATCCTATAAATGTATATAATAAATCCTTTGAAAATGTGACCAAGTTCAAATATTTGAGAATGACATCATCATATCAGAATTGCATTCATGAGGAAATAAGAGTAGATTAAATTACGAGAAAGCTTGCTACCATGCACTTCAGAATCTTTTCTCTTTCCATAAGCAGTCTAAAAACACAAAGATTAAAATATTCAAACTATAATTTTACCCATTTCAATTTTCTGGACTTCTTCAATTGTTATTATGCTTCCTCAAATAACCACTATGTTTTGGGAGACGGCTCTTCTCCCATCCTCAAGTGAACCTACACAGTCAGACCCATTAGAAGGAGCTTATGAAATATTACCCACTGACCCCATGGCAAAAAGACAGGAAAATACAAACACTTTTGTCTAAGCATACTTCATTTTCTCATTAAAAACAGAGCGGCAATTGACTACCATATCACAATAAACCACATTTATATGAGCTTCCAAAAATCCACAAAACTGTGGTAACACTGAGACCAACATTAAGTTTAAATGAATCACCATGTTACACCCTAGCTGCATTTATCCAGACCACATTAAAACCACTAGCAGGAAATTACAAACCATCTGTGAAAAAACTCGAACCTCTTCATCCAACTACTCTAATCAACAGAACTTCAAGATCATGATATTTCAGTTAATTTTGACATTTTAAGTTTGTTTACCAATGACCCAGTTGAAGAAACTCTGCAGATTATAAAAACTAAAGTGGATACAGACCAAGAAAAAATACAATTTAATCTCAAAATGAGTTATTATGAAAATACTGGAAATGTGTATGAGAACTACATATTTTCACCCTGATGACAGGTTTTACAAACAAAAGGATATGGGATGTCCATGGGAAGGCTTCTTTCTCAAGTGGAAACATCTTTACAGGAAATTTTGAAATTCTGACATTAGCCACAACGCTGCTTAAAACAAAGATGTGGCAGAAGACACTTTTGTGATTTGGCCATATATCCCTGATAAGTTACAGGAATTTCTTGACCACCTCAAACAATCTTAGAAGCTATATTATGGAGAATGAACTCAATAATACTATTCCATTTTTATGCATCTTTATAACAAGAAGAGAACCATCACTGATCATCACAGTTCACAGAAAATCCATCCATACAGAACAATATCTTCATTTTCATTTCTAACCACCTGTTGGATGGGATACACAACCTGTGTACAAAATGCAAAACGTGACCTATGGCTACACAGCTACCCCAAACACTTTGTTGATATTACAATAAATACATTTAAAAAGAATTACTGAAAAACCCAACAAAACCCAGTAGGTACAGTAATTATCCCCTATGTTAAAGGTAACTCAGAGAAGTTTAAATGCATTGGGAATAAATATAATATTAAGACTGTTTTCAAAACAAAACATACCCTGCATAACACATTTGTAAGAACCAAACCAGGTATCAAGACACAACAGATTAAACTCCGTATTTACATTACCTGTGAATGTGGACGAAGTTATATAGAAAAGAGAGGCTGACTATTGGAAGCTGTACCAAGGAACACAAACAAATGTTAAAACAAGGGCTATTTGAGAAGCCAAAATTAGAAAAACATACATATGTGGAGGGTCATTGCACAAAGTGGGATGAAGTTATCCACATGTAATTTTCAGTGTCAATTTGGATACATATGCCAATGATAGCATTGACTTCTAGGTATTATCCCAGTTTATAATATATGAGCACAATTTAATTTCTTACAGTCTTGACTACCCTGTTTTGAGGCAACTATATTTAATCTTATACCTTATCAGTCCTTCACTTTGGTTGAAAGGCCTATATAATTTTAATATTTACATTAAACACAGACAGATCTTTGTGCTGCTGGAATATATAGGCTAGCAAGCCCATTTCTCAATGTCCAAGATCAAGATTAGCTTCTTCTACTGGGATCAACTGTGCAGGTTCACCTGAGGATGTGGGAGGAGCCATCTCCCAAAACATAGCGGTCTTTTGAGAAAGCATAATGATGGTTGAGAAACTCAAAAAGAATTGAAATTAGTAATTCAACAACAGCGTCAATAACAATGAGGGATGAATTATAATTTTGCTTGCTCTGTATGGGTGTAAAACCTGGTCTCTCACATTAAGAGCAGACCACAGTTTCAGGGTGTTCGAGAACAGGGTGCTTAGAAACGATGGTAGGCTGTAGAATGTGTAATTCCATAGTTTGTACTCTTCATCAACTACTGTTAGGGTGTTCAAAGCAGGGAGGATAAGATGGATGCAGCATGTGACATGTATGAGGGAGATGAGAAATATGTACAAAATGTTGGTTGAAACAGCCAGACAGGAGAAGACTACTAAGAAGGCCTATGCAAAGATGGAAGAATATTAGAGGAATGGGGTCTGGGAGTATGGATTGGATGCATGTGGTTCATGATAGAAACCACTGACAGGATCTTGCAACATTGTAATAAACCTTAAGGTTCCATAAAATGTAGGTAATTCCTTAGCTAGCTGAGCGTGCAATTAGCTTCTGGAGGACTCTGCTCCATGGAGTTAATATGAGATGACTTATTGTAACAAAAGAACATGTAACACATACTCACAGAATACACTTTCCAAACTCAGAATGCGTATTCCATACCAGAATACATATATCATCCTCATGTATTCTTTGCAATATGCATTTATATTATTGTGGGTAAAAGCACAGATATTTCTTTTACTACAAAAAATAACAAAAAGCTTAATGGAGCTTGTATAAATCATAAAGTAAAATGTCTGGAAATTATTCTTGATGCCAAACATTTTCCCCCATCATTTGGACTATATATTTTCACACATTCTCTGGGTATTGGGTCTTCTTATTAATCTTTTTTCTTTTTTTTCATCTACAGACAGTCTTTTCATGTTATATTTTAATTTAGTTACATCGGAACATAAACATGCTTCAGACACATGGAATATTTAAACTTCTATTGACAGCAGCACAACTTTGTAGCTCACTTCTGTCCTCAGATCCATTATAAATAACTAGATGGCTTATGAAACCTGAAGGTTCATCACCAAACTAACCAAAGCCCTCCACCGAACCCTGTCCTGGGCCAACAAAATCCAGTCTCCTTCAACTCCTACATCCCATAGATCCCACCTGAGATTATCCTCCCATCTATGTCTAGGTCTACCCAGTGGTCTCTTCCCCTCAGGCTTCCCAACCAATACCCGGTGCACACCTCTTGCCCCCATCCATGCGCGCTACATGCCCAGCCCATCTCATTCTTCTCGACTTAATCACCCTGACAATATTGGGGGAGGAGAACAAATTGTTAAGCTCATCACTATGCAGCTTTCTCCATACCCCATCCTCTTCTCTCCTACACCCATTTATCCTCCTCAACACCCTATTCTCAAACAACTGCAAGAAAATAAGGTTTACGGTGCTGATATGCTAACAAAGTGCATGAACCATGTACAGAAAAGAGTTGGGTCAGCTCTTTGAACAGCAATGAATGTTGTTTAGTTTGATATAAAACTAGGAGCAAAATCATCTGAACACCTGACTTGAGGAAAAACTAATAAATAAGAAAATACTGCACTGTCACAAGGTGCGAGAGCTTTGATGATTCATGTGTTCCAAAGAATTGTTTCAGATGGCTTACTGGAAAGATGTCTAACAATACCAGGGAGTTTCTTCACATTATGATATGGAGAAAGTGCCCTAAGAGTACCGGTTTGTAAATGAAGAATCAAAATTGCAGTCTGACAGCAGTCACAGAATACAGTTTTGGATACAATGCAGCTGTTGAAGAAACAAGAGAAGCTTGGAGTATCCACTGGCAACCACACCAGTCTGTTAGCTAAACTGAGGGATTTGAGAGAACAAAGCACAGAAGGAACTCATATTAGGTACAAAACTGCAATAAAAGTAGTAAGATTAAATGCTGAGATGAAGCAAGGTTAAGAAAGCGTACCTCCAGTGTTTCAATAGTTACTGCTGGAAACAAAAAGGTACATACAGATATTATGCCGCTGTCACACTTTTATGTTTAAATTCTACAAAATACTTACCTTTACAAAGTTGCACATATCTTAAATATCTATAACCATCCATCATTTCAAGACCCTATATTAAGTGGAACTAGTGTCAATCCCACCTCACAAGTTGTGCATCTGTCATGTTGCCATTAATATTATAAAACATTAAAAATACAACTTTAGGTGGCTTCATATGGCGTATGTTCATATTAATTTTTTTTTCAAAATCAATTACTGATGAAGACAATATATGGAGAGAGAAATTATCAGCCATTTATATATATATGTTCATTCTGTAAACATCGTACTGAACAAAGAGAATAAGAAATCAACTCCAACAAGAGGATAACAAATTTGAAAGTTATGAATTGTATGTAATAAACCCTTGTGCAAAATGCTAACCTGTGTTCACTTTGAGGTAATAACAACTGTGCCAAACAAAACCTCAAAAAATGTTTACACCGTATGGGATTCAGTAAATTAATAACATATAAATAACACTTCTTTTAATAATTTCGAAAATACTTTAACTTACTAGCATGTGACGTCACAATATCATTTATTCCTTCAAATTCACCACTTTCATTCTGCCACTTCTGTTCAATCACTTTAATCTTTTGTGGCCCTTCATTTCGTAATAATTCATAGAAATACCTGAGGAATAGAACAACACAATGGCATTAAATAACAAATCTTTTATTTCCATAAAAACAATAGAAATATCTTCAGTTCATGAAAAATAAGTAGAGCGCTGAACACAAAATTTCATTTAGTTATTGCTCAGATGGTGAAACATGACTACCATTGCAATTTTTAAGTAAGAGAAAATGTATGTAAATCACTCCTACTTTACATGTTACATTGCCTTATATCGTTATCGATCCAACTTTTCGCAAAAAGTGGCT